CTATCTAACAAACTCACTTCTGTGTCCCCAACTGTATTAATGACATTCTTCTCACAGCCACATAAAATGACCTTCATGTCTACCTCTTCAGCCTCACCCATGCATTGCTAAGTCCTGTGAGATAGATCATCCCATGTCTTTATTTTTATCATCTTCACTCCTAAGCCTCTATACCTCTGGTTCATTGCCAGAGAATTCTTACCAACACTAAGTTTTTACTCTCTCTGCATTTGTTTAATCTTTCTAAAGCTCAGCCCTGTTCATGCCACTTCTCTGCTTAAAAACATTTAATGGTTTTTCCAGGTGTATCAAACAGAAGCTGGTATCCAAGATTCTCCCCAGATTTTCCTTAATGCCTTTTTACAAACACGATGCTCCAAACGAATTCAGCTTCTTACGTAGCTTTGTATCTCCACGCTTTGCTCCCAGTTTTAGTTACCTGGAAAGTCCTCCCAAACCCCAAGTCTTGATGAGTCCCAATTTTATACATTCTTTTTGAACTCAAACCCCAACATCCCCTCCTCATCATCGATTACAGACATGTTTTCTTGACTATGTGCGCAGAACAATTTGTCTGAATGTCTCCTCAATCACCCCTCTTGTTTTTCCTGCCTTTTTGATGACAAGATCCATTTCCAATTGTTGCTCTGAGTCTAACTCCATATGGCCCTGAGATAGAATGAATATTTTATAACACAGGTTGATAAATAATGTTAGAAATCTAATGTTTCATCTTTACTATAGATCATAGCAATATACCTTTACTTTTTGTATAACTTTATACAAAGGGTGTTGATGATGAGTGATAAATAAAAATGTATTTAGAGTAATGAGGATTATGAACTAATAGTAATAGCTACTTATTGAGTGTTATGCCCCAGCTGCCAGAGACAGGTTTATGTACTTTTAAATGCTTGCAGTATCTCTTTGAATAAGTTTATTAATTCTCATTTTATGATTGAGAAGGTGAGGCTAAAAGAGATTAATAAGATACTCAAGGTAAATATGTAATAGGTACTCTATTCTCAGTGTTTTCTCAGAAAAAATATAAAATGGGATTTGATTCAAAGTCAATTTGACTTTCAACCTATCTGCAAACTACAGTAATTTATTAGATATTGCAATTTAGAACTATAAAGATTTCAAATCCCATATCATAAGATTTTATGAACCTGGCGCATATCAAGTGTTCTACACATTATTACCTTACAAAAATTTCAAAATTTGTTCTTAAAAACACAGAACATATAATTATTAGTTCAAATACAATTTTTGAGGTTTAAAATGTCAACAAAGGAAAGAAGATAATTAAAAGCTTAAAAATCTATTACATATGACAGTAAGAAAAAATGTTTTGAGTTTAAGGTAATGCTAGACATGGGCAGTGAAGTTAAGTTCGTTACTTTTTTTTTTTTTTTTTGTGGGACCCTCGCCAGTGGCCAGGGATCGAACTAGCGCAGCAGAGGCTGCGGGCAGCCTCACAACCCAGCGCTCAACCCCTGCACCACCAGGGGAGGCCCATTTCATTACTATTTTTAAGAAAAGTAATAGTCCTATGACTGTAATAGAAAGTAGTAGTCACATGCCAACTATCTATGGAGGCTACCTCTCATCCCTGTGGAAATGCAAAGTCCCAGCAGAAAACATTACTAACTTTGGAGAACTCCAAGACAACAAAACAAAAAGCCCAAGACAACAATGATTCTTCAAAAAGGACATTTAAATTGCCTCTAGAGTTTTATGAGATTAGGGGTCCAAGAAAGTGAATTTGTATAAGAAAGAAAATACTCATTCATTTTATAGATACATAACAAAAGCCCTCTGTTGGCCTTAAGTGTCACTGGATAAAAGGTTTGGAGTCCAAAAATGGTATAAAATCTGAATATAAAAAAACAGGAATACAAGGTCAAAATGGGCAAGAGTTATAAAACTCATGTTTCTATCAATCAGCCGATGGTAAAATTGGTTTGTTATAAATTATTTTGCTTGGAGTTTTAATTGCCAAGAACCTGTCAAAGACAGTGTGAGGACTTACTGTAGACACCAAGCTGTCTTCTTCTCTGCCTTGTCTACTGATAGAAATTCTTGGAGATGAAGATCTTTTACAGGGTGATTAAGTGTGTGGTGAAAATGAGAAGTGCGAAGCAGGTGGTGAAGAGGGATGGTCACGACTAAGCAAGCAGTGTGGGTGAGGTGCAGGGTATAAACAAGCAGCACAGGGAAGTGAGGGTGAAGGTGAAGAATGCTGTATCCCATCTCTGGGCTTGTTAGTGAGGTAGGAAGAGAGAGCCCCCTCTGCCTTTGGGTCAGATACAGCAGCCAGTGTCTTGCGAAATGAAAAGAGTAAACCCTCTCCCAAGGGCTGTGCATTTTTCTAATGTGTGGGTCAGAGATCAAAACTTACTCTGCTGTACAATATTTTGTGTGTGTGTGGGGAGGCTCTGAACTAAAAGATAGTTTGCATATTTTTCCACTCAAATTAATTCACTATTCTTAGTTTACAAAGAACAAGTATAGAACCAGCTCAGATATGATGTAATAATCCCTTCAAAAATATATAAGATGTGAAATAGGAGTTTCTTTTGTAGCTGAGTGCAAGTTTTAAAATTAGATTACTGTTTCTCAAGACTTGTTTACATTTGTTTTACATGGATTCACATCCTTTCTACCTACCCTTGTTTTCCTCTGACTCCTGCTTTAGCCACCTTCTCCTCCCATGTCCCTCAGCTTTAGAAAACTAAATGTTTTAATATTAATCAAGCAGATTAATAATTAGCAGCAGCTATCTGCAAACTGACAGGCAGGGTAGTACTTGTATAATTAAAATTTTTTGTTTAATGACTTTTGTTAATTCAGCGTTATAAATCATTAGCCCCCGAAATCCAGAAGGAAAAAAAATAGTTCAAAGTAGAAAAAGTCTGTGGTATGGAAGGGGAAGAATCACCTTAATACTTTCTTCCTTTCCTCTTGTCCATTTGAAACTCATGTTTTAAAAAAAACAGAAATGAGGTATGCCAGAAATGAGGACTAGAAGCATTTGTGTATATAAAAAAGAAAAATGGTGCACCTTGCAGCTGTCTGATGTCCCCCAGAGCTTGTAGACATATATTATAGAAAGGTCCTTGAACGAATATATCTGTCCAATTATTTCTCATGGCAATTATCTAAAATTAAATATCTACACTTTCAGTAAAATGAATATATTTACTTGTGCAGAACAGTCACTACTTTAAGTAATGCCAAATACAGTGCTATTCAAAAAGCATAAGAAAATATTTTGGGCCATAACCAACATGGAACACCATGCTCAAGAATGGAAACTCAGCCCAGCTCTTTCACTAGCTATATTTGAATATTTTAGTCAAACTGTAAAAAGCACTAAAACTGCAGTTCATAGTCACCTTGTAAATCTGTTTGCTCATAAACCATTAATTGCATAAATGTTTACGACTGGTAGTCACTGACAAAGATCTTTTCCTTAGGCCTATATATTCTCAACACTTATCCAAATGCAATTGATTTTCCACAGGGGGGAAAATTGCATAACAAATCTGTTAATATATTCCATGATATGATGTTTTAAATGAAAAGAAACAACTTAATATTATTTACTGTTTATTTTAGCACTGAGATGAATGCCATAATTTTGTGGGAAATGTTATTATTTAAACTGTGAATGGGTTAGAAGACTAGTCTTAATCTAAAAGTTTTCCAATTCAAGATTTTTTTTTAATTTTTTTTTTTAATAGAGGCATGTTTTTTATTTATTTATTTATTTGTTTGTTTGTTTTGTTTATACATGCACTGGGTACAGTCAGAAGTGCGGGAGGGTGAGAGAATTCACCAGAGCCAGAGCAGGGAGCAGAGCAGGCAGAAGGACCGAAATACACTGTTGAGGAGGGCAGCGGGCGGCAGGAGAGGTCTGCGCGCCATGTGGGACCCTCCTCAGGTGGCCGGGGAGCAGCTGGGGATCGAACCGGCGCCGCATAGGCCGCGGGCAGCTTCGCAACCCAGCGCTCAACCGCTGCGCCACCGGGGAGGCCCCAATTCAAGATTTTTTGAGGGGGGGAGAAGAGGGGACTTTTGTGCTAGTAGGTCTGATTTTTTTCTTCCTTCACTAGATTTCAATGCAGAAGTCTCCATTGGTGACTGAGACCTAATGGTCTGCCTTTGATTATTTCATTATTCTTTTGTAGTATTCAGAAGGCTGAATTAAAAAAAAAATCCACCTTAGTTTTAAAATAAATATTTTACAAAAGGATTATTTTCATCACTGCTCTTGGTGATGAAAAGATGGGGTGCCCGAGGGTTGTCCTGCACTTCCTGATGAAATCATTCCGGAGAAGTCAGTCTAGTTCCTGGAGTACCTGAGGACTATTGTAAGAACCCAGAAGCTCCAGGGTATACGATCACGTATCCACAGCATTACATATTCCTTTTGTGTCAGATGATGCTATACATATGTAAATTCACATGATGTTGCACAAAGGAAATCTATCCCACAAGGGATCAGAATTGAGTCAGATCCTTGAAGGGAGGTGCAGTGTCTCACAGTTTCTTAAAACCACACTCCCAGTTACTCAGCTCGCCTGCACATTTGCCTTCATCTGCTTCAGAGAGGGGGACTTGAAGGTTCCTCCTTTCAAAGACCTGGGAAAACCAGATTATCAGAGGACTTAAGTGCGCTGAGCTCAGCTAGGAGAGAAACACATTTCTGCCCACCTTTCCTTCAAGCCCTGCTTCACCTCCTTGCCCTCTCCTCTGGTAAATAACGAAGGATTATCCCCCCACGCCCCCCGCAAAAAAGTTGAGCAAATGCATGTCACAGTATGTGGGTGAAAAGAACAGAAACCCAAGGAACATGGAATATGGAAAGAGGGGGAGGGGGCCAGGGGAGTGAATGGAAGCTGCACATTACAAATTTTCTAAAGAGCACCTGGCAAGGCGCTTGAGCTTGAGGGCTAGGGGTCCCACAGAGCCCGAACCCCGCCGCTACTCACACTTCTCCGCCACGCAAGTCGCTCTCCGGGTCGCTGTCGGAGGCCCACTCCTCACCGATGTCCGGCAGGGTGAAGAACAGGGTCTTGGGGCCGGGCCCTGGGGGCACCCATGTGCTGGGCTCTCGCTCTGCGGGGCCAGGCTGGCGAGGAACCCGCGGGCTCCCGGCTGAAGTGCTGCAGCCTGCGGCGCCCCCAATGGAAGGCAGCGCCGCCCAGATCCCACCGGGACCCAGGGGCGCCCGCGCCACCAACGCTAGGTGGGCTGGGGAGCCGGCGGCGCTACAGCTCCCACTGCCTGGGGGCAGGGGCACGGGCAGGGGCTGGAATTTGGCCGACCTCGGGCTATTAGGCAGCGAAAGAGGGGTCCCTCCAGCTTCTGACCCGCGGCTCGCGCCCGACACCCTGGGGTAGGAGGCGGTGAGCAGAGGGTGGGGCGCGCCGGGCGCGGGCTGCAGCGGGGCGTGCGCCCTCCGAGGGGCAGACGGCGAGTCCGATGCCAGGGCCGGAAAGAGGGTCAAAGTCGGGGCGGCCGTGAGCGAGGGGCCGGAGCCGGAACCCGCGGGTCCTGGGGGGGCAGCTCCTCCCGAGTGGCTGGAGGCGACCGGCGAGGGGACCACGGGGGGCGCCGTCGAGGTCTTGAAGATTTTGGCAAAGAGAGACCCAAGGTCCAACACCGCGACCTTCATGTCCGGGCTTTGGAAACGCGGTACCCGCTGCTGCTCGGACTTCCAGACCCCCGGGCGCCGGGCTGCGGGGCTCCATCCACCGCCGCCCGCGGGAGTCGGGACGAGGGGGCCCCGCGGGGCGCGGCTCTTGGGCTTCCCCGGAGGCCCGCAGTGCGCTCTGCAGCCGGAGGAACCTCTCTGGCACTACGGACCCACCTTCCCGGCCGCCCTGGCCCACCTGCAGATTGCAGAGGCGACTCTGGGCAGCCGCGGGATGAAGGGCACCTTCTAGAGAGCAGCTCTTTCTCTGTCCTAATGGTGTGAGACCCCCAAGGACCAAGGGTCCTGAAGCCCAGGAAAGCGACTTGGCTGCAGCTGCCAGAGCCACGGCGGGCTGTGGGTGGAGATCAGGGCCTCCGCCTGCTGGAGATACCCCGATGGGCCCCCGGGGCTGCGCAGGCGGTTGCTAAGCTAAACAAAAACCCTGCTTAGCTCAATGCTAATTGGGCCCCAGAATGCAACTTGGGGCTGTGTCCTCAATAGATACCCTGGCTCCCCTCCTTGAGCCAGGCCTTAAAGGAGCAGTCTCCAATTTCTCCATCACCCTTTAGAGCTTCACTGGATTTGCCCAGCTCTGGACTGAAGACGAGGAATTTGAACCTAACCCTGGGGGAAAATAACCCCGGTTCCAAAAGATCTGCAATTCATCTCTTACGAGGCCAAATGTGCCAGGATGGGGGTGATGGCCAGTTCCATGACACAGGGAAGGTTGATAAAAACATGCATTTAGGTGAGTAGACACGAAACAGCAGTGCCTACTCCTCCCACCGCAGAGCCATGGCCCAAGGGTATCACTACATTGGACAGAGGGGAACAACAGTGAAATAATTCACCAAAGAACTTGGAAACACAGTTGGGCCCTAATAGCTAAACTAGTTAAATCTACCAGCAATGTAAGGGTTTAAATCCCTATTGGAATGAACCAAGAGACTATGAACTAAAATGTTTGAGAAGTCAAACCATAATCGATGGATTGGATACGAACTCAAAGTGAGCTACAAAAATAAGTTGTTTTTTTTTAAGGTGGAATTTGAACCTAACCCTGGGGGAAAATAACCCACTTTTTTAAACTGCTTTGATTAATGTGAAGAAATATATGTGAAAAATTGAATTTATGAAGTGAATATCTTCAGGAGTGAGGGAGCAAGATTAAAATGTAAGATGGGGGCCTTCCTGGTGGCACAAGGGGTTAAGACGCAACCTATGAAGCTGTCTGCAGCCTCTGCAGCACAAGTTCGATCCCCAGCCAAGAAGCTATCCACATGGCACAGCAGACCTCTCCTGTCTCCCCCGCTGCTCCCCTCAGCAGTATATCTCACAATCTGCCTGTTCTGCTCCCCACTCTCTCTCTGGTGAATTCTCTCACCCTCCCGCGCCTCTGGCCTGTACCCCAGTTCTTGTATAAATAAAAAAATCTTTTAAAAAAATGTCGACAGGGTTTATGTATTAATGTTCAGGGGAGAGTTTTTTGGTGTTTTTTTTCTTTTAAAGATTTATTTATGTATGTACAAGAGCTGGGTACAGGCCAGAGATGTGGAGGGTGAGAGGATTCACCACAGACAGAGTGGGGAACAGAACAGGAAGACTGACTGAAATACACTGCTGAGGGGAGCAGCGGGCAAGACAGGAGAGGTCTGCTGCGCCATGTGGTTTCTCCCTGGCTGGCTGGGTATCGAACTTGTGCTGCAGAGGCTGAGGATTGCTTCATAGTGCAGTGCTTAACCCCTTGCACCACTAGGGAGGCTGAGTTTTCTGTTTTGATCTCAAGAGATATATTTTCTGATTTAGGTCAGGAAAAGAGGATGATAAGTCTGTTAGTGAATAAATTAAATGGTATTTATGATTATATAATTAGTGTTTTACAAATTATCAAACTGGATTCTGAATCACAGCAAATTTCCATGGTCATGCCATGCTTTGCATCTTCTTGTAGTCAGCTTGTCAATTTTCTACTCATGATATTCACAAACCACCACTACCCCTTTTCTACATAAAAACAACCTTAAGCAAACATGGACTGAGGTTGTTACTACTTCGTGATTGTGTTAACACTGAGATGGAAAAAAAGAAGGTGCTCTCCTCCCCCAGCATGGATTAATCAGCCTCACATCACACACTCAGTCAGGGGAGTGTCCCAGAAAACAAGTACAGCTGGCGGCAACCATCACAGTCATCATTTGCTCAGGGAAAGAACATTTTTATACTTAAAGAGAAGAGACAAGGAGGGGAAAGGTCAGATTATAGAAGACTTGGATTTGGGGGGTGGAAAGAGCATGCAATTGTCAAGACAAAATACCAGTACACAGTGAAGAGTCAAATTGAAGGAAAAAAACAGGGAATGATTAACAGACATCTCTGAAAATCCCAGGGGAAACTAGGGACAGAGGTAGGTCAACTCCATCATCAGGCAAGGAGCCCAGAAGCAGGCTGCATTTGCACCATGGACATTTCTCATACTCATATTTTTCCTTTTTGATAGCAGTTCAGTAGGTAGCTTCAGAGGCATGTGAAACCCATCACAACATTAGGCTATTTTCATACCAGCACTCATTCAGGATTTCAAAGCTGTTTCCTAAAGATTTTTTTGTTTATTTTATAAGGACCTTGATTCTGAGTTATAGAACAATTAAATCTTCAGTAGATTAGGTCACTCTCAATACAAGCAAAGATCATATCTAGCGTACATGCTCTCAGTATTTAAGCTGCTAATCATCTGATTCTGTACACATGTAAAATAAATTGAAGGGAGAAGCAATGATGGAGGGTCATTGGTGAGTGATACCTGATTCAATTCACCCAATTCCTTGAGAGCTGTTGCCCCTCAGGTTTTCTGATTTTTCAGGCTTAGAAATCTGATCCCAGATTACCAACATCTTTGGTTAGAGCCCCAGTACCCTAACTCATAAAATTCTAATGTACAAATCCCCCCAACTTAAGTGTGTTAACTAATAATTACACAGCTGCAGAGTTGTCCTCTCATTCCCTAAGAAAGGAATTCCTTTTAAGACCAAATCAAATAGAAGGATTGTTAGGGGAGCATAGATTCATAGTAAGGGAGTATAGGGTTCATAGATAGGAGGTACTAGTCATAAAATCTGATCATCCTGCTCCTTCTTGGAATACACATACACAATGCCTCATTCACCTACCTATCTTTGACCCTCTAGATATTTTTATGCATCTTTTGCAACTTTCCTTCTGGGAATGCACTTTTCTTTAAGTATAGGATATTTTTAATTAGACTACAGAAAACCTACCTACTCTTCCAGATTCCAGCCTTAAAAGTATTCTGTGTCTACGGTACATTTGCATGTATTCTATTTGTTACAAATTGAATTGTGTCCCCCCCAAAAGATGTGTTGAAGTCCTTACCCTCAGTTCATGGGGATGAGACCTTATTTAGAAATATAATCTTTATAGATGTAATTAAGTGGAGATAAAAACATGAGTGTGTGCCCTAGTCCAATCTGCCTGTTATACTCTTAAGAAGAGAGAAATTAGAGCACAGAACCCACAGGGAGGCCACCATGTGATCATAGCGGCAGAGATGGGGTGACGCAGAGATGAGGTGATGCAGCTGCAGGTCAAGCAATGTGGAGAATCAACAGGCACTGCCAGGAGCTGGGATGAGGCAAGGAGGTCTCCCTCCAGGTTTCAGAGGAAGCATAGCCCTGCCAGCTGCTCACAGCAGACTTTTAGCTTCTAGAACTACAAAAGAATAAATTTGTTTACTTTAAACCACCCAATTCGGGTCACTTTGTTATGACAGTCCTAGGAAATGAATTCTCTATTGGGATATAAATTAATTAGTAAGTACTTGATGGTCATAGTATCTTTCCATTATTTCTGTAAAAGTCTTCAGTGGAGATAATAGCTCTAAAAAACTGGTAACAAATTAAAATGATAATTATAATTATCTCAAATCTACAGGGAAATGGCAGGAGACATTAAAAAGGGTGGGGGTGGAAATATTAGTGTTGTTTAAGGAAGTACAAGTAACATTGAGATCAGCCAGCCTACGAGGAAGGCATATAATCGATGCTTTTGTTGAAAGGTCCTTTGAAAGGACATATAATGGCAAACATGATAAATAATTCTGAGCAAGATGCTGGATCATTTATGCCCATTGTTCACCTATCAACAGTCTTTCAGACAGATGTCAGCGGCTACCAGCTTCTCCGTTAATTACCAGTAACAGGCCACTCCCTTCACAAGTGCCCCAGGCGATGGCTGTTGCAGTCAGGTTCATACAGTGTAAGGAAATGAAAGCAGCTTGGTAAAACATTGTTTCTAACTGGGACACTTTGATTTTACAGTAGATCAACTTTATTAGAGATGTTCGAGCAGTGTTTTAATAAAATTCTCTTTCTATTGTTTAATTAGCACGTGGAGGTATTGCTTTTCTGATGTGTACAAGAAAGCTTACCTACATCATTGAGAGAGGATTAAGAAGTTATTATGACCATGTTGCTATGAAGAAATATTATGTTTTGGAAACCTGAAAGTTAAAACAAATAACCTGAGTAATTAATCTGTTGAAGAATTTTAATTGCCTTACTTCAGCTTGACCCTGAGCCCAGAACTTACAAACAGAAGTATTATCAAATTCTATTGTAAAAAAATTGAAAACTTCTGAACAATGAAAGACATTTGTTGGTTCAACAGGTATTTACTAGGCACCACGATAAGAGTTTGGTGTGTAGAGTCTGGTTAAGAAAGGGTCCACTACTCCCAAACACGTTGCCACATGAACAAAATCAGGAATCAAGACAGGAGAGGGCCTCCCTGGTGGCGCTGCGGTTGAGCGCTGGGTTGCGAAGCTGCCCGCGGCCTCTGCAGCACCGGTTTGATCCCCGGCTGCTCCCCGGCCACCAGGGGAGGGTCCCACATGGCGCTCAGACCAGACCTCTCCTGCCACCCGCTGCTCCCCTCAGCAGTGTACTTTGGTCCTTCTGCCTGCTCTGCTCCCCGCTCTGGCTCTGGTGAATTCTCTCACCCTCCCGCGCTTCTGACTGTACCCAGTGCATGTATAAATAAAACAAATAAATAAATAAAACATGCCTCTATTTAAAAAAAAAAAAAGACAGAAGGAGAGATGGAGTGTTGGCTGGGAAGGTAACTGGCAATGTCTGCTATAGTAACTAGTCCCCTAGGTATATGGTGAGTAGTTTGAGTATCTGGTATTACCAAATTAAAATGGCAGCTACCAATCTACAGCTCTCAATATGCTCTTTGGCCCTAATACGTGGCTTGATCAAGTTTTCACCATTTTAAATGCTATCCTTACGGAGGTAGACATAAACCTACTTAAACTCACTTCTTCCTATTTCTAGATGATGTTCCACATAGTCGATGTCATGGAGTATTTTCATAGTTTTTAATTTTAGATTGGAGCTCAAATCAGGACCCTGCTAAGTGGCAGAGGCGACATTGGGGAATAGTAGCGCCCCCTTGCTTCAGTTTCCTCATTGTAGATGAAGGTAATAATGGTACCTTAAGGGCTTGTGAGGATTGAAAGGATGTATAAAAAGGTGTTAAAAGAGTGTCTGATACATAGTAAATGTGCCATTAAGTGATAGTAATAATAATATTAACAACTATGACTGAGAATTTGGCAAATGTTCTTCAAGACTCACCTCTCTGCCTTTTCAGTCTTTGTTTAGTAAGCATAATTTGCCTAACACTGTATCGTTCCAAGTAGAGCGCTAGGACTCTGTCACAGCCGAAAGATCAGTGACTTTGTAGCCAGACCAAAATGGATGTGAATTTTGCACATTCTCGCTATTTGGTTTACGACAAGTCACTTGGCTCCTGTGGGCTTCAGTTCTCCTATCTGCAGTAGCCTTCCCTCACTAAATTATGATGAATAGTAAATAATCTGGGCCTCCCTGGTGGCGCAGCGGTTGAGCGCTGGGCTGCAAAGCTGCCCACAGCCTCAGCAGCGCTGCTTGGATCCCTGGCCACCAGTGAGGGTCCCACATGGCACTCAGACCTCTCCTGCCGCGCCCGCTGCTCCCCTCAGCAGTGTCTTCGTCAGTCTGCCTATTCTGTTCCCTGCTCTGGCTCTGGTGATTTCTCCCACCCTCCCGCACTTCTGACTGTACCCAGTGCTTGTATAAATAAATAAATAAATAAATAAATAAACAAATAAATAAATAAATAAATAAATAAATCTTTAAAAAAAATAGTAAATAATCTAATGCTCAAGATATATAGGAAGAATAATGTTCAAAAAGTTTATCAGGGCCTCCCCGGTGGCGCAGCGGTTGAGCGCTGGGTTGCGAAGCTGCCCACCGCCTCTTCAACTCCAGTTCGATCCCCGGCTGCTCCCCGGCCACCGGAGGAGGGTCCCACATGGCGCGCGGACCTCTCCTGCTGCCCGCTGCTCCCCTCAGCAGTGTACTTTGGTCCTTCTGCCTGCTCTGCTCCCCGCTCTGGCTCTGGTGAATTCTCTCACCCTCCTGCACTTCTGACTGTACCCAGTGCTTGTATAAATAAACAAACAAATAAATAAATAAATCTTTTTAGAAAAAAGTTTATCAGTGGGTTTGTCAAAGTAAGTGGATGCACATTGGCGAATAGTAATTATAAGAAAACAGAAAACTATCGATGCAAAGGTCAATTGACTATGTCTAGGATAACATTTCTTGAAGTGTCATCTACATTGTACTTTGACAGAGTCACTTGGAATGAATGTCAAAAGTGCAGATCTCTGAGCCAGAATTCATGACTTAGTGTTTCTGATGGTGATGATCAGGAGTTGCATTTTTAGCAAGCTATCCAGGTGAGTGTTCAGCTTGCTAAAGTTTTAGACCCATTTGTCTATCTCCTAATGAACAGGGCCCCTGTCAGCCTGGCCTGTTGACTGACCCCACAGGAGTGAACCAGACCTCATAGGAGAAGGGCTATATAATACAGAGATCTCCTCCTGCGCTGTCCCCACAGCTGCCTAGCAACTAGGGGGCCTGTGAACTCTGCAACCTTCCCTCAGGAGCAGGGAAGGGGTGTTACCATGCAGATGACCTCGAAAATGCTGACTGGGAAACTCCAGATTGATATGTTTAAAAAGTGCAATCAGAATAGGCGTTACATCTTGTGGGGGTGGCGGAGGAGGACACATTTTGGGCCTGGTTTCCTTTTTACCAATGCCTCTCCCCTTCACAGACTCTGCTGTTTGTAGAGAATTTACCAGGTGCTCCTTACTGACTATGGGTGTGGCTCTGGAGAAGGTGGGAGTTGTTTGCTTCACTCTCTTCCCAGCTAGGAATTCACCCCCTCTGAGGCCTGAGGATGCCACAGACAGGAAAGCTGCAGAGCCACACAGCTGCCAGGCCGGGAAGTTGGAACTGTTATCAGGTAAGTCTTGAGGGACCCTCTGTTTCTTACCACTGCTTAGGTAACAAGGTTTCTCTGAGGAAGTATACGCTCCCTTGACCCAGTGTTTATCACAGTCACGATTGCTTCACAGCAAAACAACCTGAGCTGAATAACTCTTGAAACCCCTTTGCACTGAAGGTTGTCTAACTAGTGGAGTGGATCAAAGACTCTGACCTGAGAGCCCCTCCAAAGTCACATGGTCAAGTCTCCTGCCATGGTTAGGGCAGATTCTTGTACCTGCAACAGTGGATCTTAGAATTACACCCTCTAGATGCTCTCCAGGCATTCACACTGCTGAAAAGATTGAGTGTTTGCAACAGAGTAAAGACCTGACTAACTCATCCTATCTCACTCTTCCTAAAACCTGGCTTTCCGCTGGGACATCTTTATGCATCTTCATTTTCTGCGGGGAAGGAGACTTAACACAGGTTTCTATTTGTACCTACTTGAGTTCAGCTTGATCTATATACCAGTGGCACGTATTTCATATGATAGTTAAGAGCTGCTTGGCTTGATCAGCTCTCCTCTTTGGGAAGCAGTGTGGAATCCACATGGTGAGAGTGGATGCTTCCAATCACAGGACCTCACCCCATGACCACCAGAATGGATATCTGCCCCAGTGAGGTCAACCAGAGGCCTTCCCTGAGGTTTTGAAATTTGAGATTAGGAAAGGACAGTCTCTTGTTGATATGAATTGGGAGCTTGAGTGATCCTGGGCACCTGAGTTTCCAACAGTATAAGCCAAGGGACCAATACGGAGAGGAAATACCAAAATATAAACATTCCTCTCTTAGGTAAGTGACCACTATTTCTTAGCAATTACATCTTTATTCTTGTTCTAGTCTCCTCTCCCTATAGATAAGATTTATTGAGAAACTGAATCAGAAAGCGTCCTTTTTCTGTATCTTAAAACAACCTCCTCTTCCTTAGACTCTCCCCCAAATCAGCCTTAGGAAAACCCAAATCTAACTAACAGTTTCTTTCAAGCACCTTCTAACCTGAGATACCCCATGTCCTATGTGGTGTATGTCATCCCTCATTGAAATAAATAATAACCCCAACTTGTTCAACTGCAGACATACTCCTAAGATTCATTAGGAAGTTTATCAAGGAAGGTACAGTAAATAAAGGTATACAGATTACATTCTGCCTTCTCCCCTGGGAAAAAAAAAAACAAAAACCTAGGAGATTGGGTCTTTCCAGGAGAGACCTTACAGAGACAATACAACAAAAACAACCTTCACCTGGTCTTGAGAGCTCCTTCCAAGAAATAACCTCTAGCCAAAAAGACATATTTGGGGGTGGCATATCTTTGTTCCCCTCCACTTGCATACTTGTGCAATCCTTGTCACAAGTCAATCTCAGAACATTTCATCATCCCACAAAGAACTCTCTGTAGCTTACAAGATATATTTTGTCAACTCTCGATTTGTAGCATCTTTCCATCTTCAAATGTTCACTGTCGCTATTGAATTCCTTTTGCAAGTAGTCTAATGTAGTCATAATGTAGTCATTTGAATAAGTAAACATTATTAAATAAATGGAATTAAAAAAATACCTCTTTGTTATTAAATTAGTTGCCTCTACTTTGTATTATAATCTAAAAGGATTCTAAAAATATCACTCATTTTTAAGTAAAATCTAAATACCAAGATTTATTTAAAATTTATTTAAAACTCAATGTTGTTAATTCAGCTGGGATTTGATTTGAAAGTGAAAAACAGGAAAGAATTGGAGTGAACAAATTCCATGATGGCACCTTGAGAACATTCAAGCAAGTCAATTCACTTGTGGAAATTAAATAGGTCAGACAAACATCCTTCTCTGCAGTCCCTTTGTCTACAGCCCAAGGGAGCAGGATCCCTCCTGAGAACAATTATAAAGGACTGGCTTCAGGAGCTCAGGATGTTGCTTTCTGTGTAGGTCAAACACAAATGAGCGCTTACACCCTTTATTCATTTTACTTAAATTCAGTTAAACAGATCATCTCTTGCATATCTTATGTAAATATTTAACAGCTTTAAAAAATTAGACTTGAACTCAATTTAAATTGTCTTCATTGCATCAACTAAGTCATATGCAAATAGAAAATGAAAGCAAAATCACTGTGTGCTCTGCTTTTCGCAAATTAATGATATATTGATTAATTCATAATTGGTTTAGAAATATTTTAATAAATATTGGTAGATAGGATACAAAGTACATCTAGTAAAAGTAGTTGTGATTTTATTTTATGATACCAAAATAAAATGGGATTATATTACAATTAGAAAACAAATTTTGATGAAAACTCTGTAAACCAAATGTCTCATGTGTAAGAATGATGTATAATATGAAAGCAAAAGCGGCCTCACCGCACATTCACATTGTTGGGACACTGGAGGCTCTCTTCCAGAACCAGCAGTAGAAAGGACATTAATTTTTCCAGGATTGTGTGAACTTAAGCCTGAGAATACTATATAAAGATTCTAAAATCTGACATCACAAATGTTTCCTAAGTTCAGCAGAAAATTAAAGCTTCAAGCACAGAAATTCTCAGCATTATAATTTCAATACCTTCTTATATTTGAGAATTTTTTTTTAAGATTTATTTATTTATGCATACAAGAGCTGGGGTATAGGCCAGAGGTGCAGGGGGGTGAGGGGGAGGGTAGGCGGGCATGAGAGGATTTACCAGAGACAAAGTAGAGAACAGAACAGAAAACAGGCGGATTGAATGAAATACACTGTAACAGAACAGGAGGACTGAATGAAATACACCATTGAGGGGAGCAGCAGGCAGAGGGCTGCTGTGCCATGTGGGTTGCTCCCTGGCTGGCCAGGGATCGAACTCGTGCTGCAGAGGCTGCGGATTGCTTCATAGTGCGGTGCTTAACCCCTTGCACCACCAGGGAGGCCCCCTTCTTATATTTGAATACAAGAACTGTAAAGGTTTAAGATCATGTCATTTTCCAAAAATTACACTTTTTATTGTAAAGCAAGAATTTCTAAATTAGGACCAATTTATACAAAACATTAGTTATTAATATCAGGAAAGTATTAAAGTATTTATTTTATTAATTGATCAAAATTAGCTGCAAGTGTTTCCTGCCCTTAAGTATGTATATTAAAATAGTATTTAACATTTAATAAAATCAACGCTGGAATTGGTACAACTGCTACTGGGCAAAGAAGGGCACTAAAACTGTGCCCAAACAGTTTACCTGCACGCGCAATTGTAAGACCATTCACATTCAAGAAACAACAATAATGGGATTTATTTAACAAACAGGGAAACTAAGAGTCCATAAGGCCACAAGTGGCCAATTATTTCACCCCTAATAGCGTCCAGTGTTCAGAACTCCTAAACAAAATGGTGTCCAAGATGGCATCTTCCTGTCCCTGATTGCTTGGAGCTCGTGTCGCCAGAGGCAATAGGCAGGGATCCAACTCTTGAGGACATCAGTAAACATTCACCTGAGCCACCAAGATAAGCCTGAGGCAATAGCACAGTATCAAACAACAGTAGAAACAGCAGAACGACTGTAGAAACTGCAGAATGACTGGACAAATGGGCCACATTCACACAGCTCAGTGAGTGAGGCACGCCGCTCCCGGCCCTTGCCTTCCCCTTCAGGCTGTAACAGCAGCAAAACTGGGAACAGTTTTAGCTGCCTCGCTACCCACAAAACTTCTCAACTTTTCTTCTCCATGGTCAGCTGCTAGAAGCTTTATCACGTCCTTTGGAGGTCAACAGCAATCTTCAGCAGTGTAGGCCTCTCCGTGTCCTTCAGAGGCCAATGGCAGTCTGGAAGATTTGCCTGGTGGGGCTGGAATGGCTGACCCTGGGGGCTGCTTCTGCAGTCCTTTATATTCCCTATCAGATTCCCCACCCCTACTGATTATTTCTTGCCAGGCATATTCCACCTGGGGCTATTTATCCTTACTTGTGCCCCAGCCAGGTGGCACCACTTGTAATAGCCTTTGGCTCCAGCCTTGCCCTTCAATCCCCCCCCACACACACAATTAAAATACAAAGTACAAAGCCATATAATTAAAAAATATTATTATCACACTGCAAAATTAAAGCATGTATTTTACTCTTCCATACTTGAAATAGCACTGTACCCATGAAAATAATTATCTTCTCATTCTGTTATGAATGCATCCAAAAAAATAAACCAAATATAATTATCACAAACCCCTACCTAACTATAATATTTTTATGAGAAATATTTTTAAACTTTCTTAAATGTTCATAAGACTCAGTAATTAACTGTATATTCATTAGCAAAAGATAATTCTTACATGTTTATTTTGGGTCAAGGCAACTCAATTGGTAAAGGCCAAAATGAGATCTATAACCATAGAAGATTGATATTTGTGACATCAAACTCTCACATATAAATATGAATAGACAGATTTACCATCATTTTCAAATAAAACTTAAATTTACCATTGAACTTTTTAAAATTGACAAAGTTACACCTTTGTTCATGTAGTCTTTATATAAATTTAAGGTGCTGAATTTCTGGATCCAAGAGCTACTTGTAATTTGTGATGAAAGGCATTTATCCGTTCTTTCTGAACTGGCCAGTTCAAGATGCAGTGAGATTTAAACATTCCTCTTCTCAAACATAGAGCATGGTTCAGTTTGTAATCTGGAATCTCCTCAAGAAAGATCAATATAATAGAATCCAGATTTTGTTCAATAGCCTGCTGAACTGCATGGTGCACCTTGAATCTAAGTAAAAAAAAAAAAGGTGTCAAATTAAGTGGATATTAATATACAGGTTTTGACAGCCAAAAGCTCTAAAATCTAAAATTCCCCTTAGAATTTGATCTTTACCAAAATTCTGGTTATGTGGTTATGTCTTTTCTTAATTTTATTTTTAAAATTATTTGAGGTGTAATATTAGTGATTATTAAAAGCTCAACTGAAAACTGATACACACTTAAAATCTCACAATATTTACCTACCTTTTGCATAGTGGATCTTTTAACAGATGTTGTGTTATGACAAAAATAATTTTTTTGCTCCTTTTGATGCTATTAACAATTGCTTGAAGTTCAAGTACGCCTGCCTCAAAGTCCCTTTCTTCCAGACAAAATCTGAGAGTTTGATCTCTTTCTTCCATTGGGGAGAAGTTTTCCCAGACCCAATCCCTGTCTTTACGGGCGTGAATTATATATGCTGCATATTTGAACTGCTCTGGTTGTTTGTCTATTTCTTGGAAACCAAGAATTCGATGCACTGAGACATTCCAATAAAAAGATATCCTCCAGCCTTCAAAATGGACAAGCAGAACTATAATGATAAAAATCATCAGGGTGCTGGTACATATCATGAAAAGGAGTTCAAAGGGAGCACTGTCCTTGCAGGGTGATGTATCAAAATGCATCACTGGGAAACCATGATATTGAGGTGGAGTATTGCAGAGATACTGACTTGATAGCTCGGAGATATTGGTGTGGGTACCATTCATCCAATTAACAAACCAGGCAATACTTTCACATGTACAATCAAATGGATTAAAGCTCATATCTAAATTACTCAGGTTCTTGAATGCTGACTCAAAAACATTCTTCTCAACTGATGTTATGAGATTCTTCTGAAGGTTCAATGACTTTAGAGACCTTTGATTATCAAAGACGGAGGGTGGAAGTATGTTTATATTATTCAGTCCTAAATTGAGGGTCTTTAATTCAACTAAGTCCTTGAAGACCTCTGTTGGGATCTCATCAAAACCATTGGACTCTAAGTTGAGGATGTGGAGGTGAGAAAGGCCCTTTAAAAACTGAACGGGACCACCAGGGTTTGCATGTTTCCAGAGCCGTGCTAAATTGTTATGCTGCAAATCCAGAATTTCTAGTTTCTCAAGACCTTCCAATAGTTCATCGTCTATGTTTGCCATGTTGTTGTTGCTTAAATCCAGAATGGTCAAGTTACGAAGTAGGTAAAAAGGTGAAGGAGAGCTAACCAGATTTTTAATATCTACCCTTCGGAGCATCAGTCGTTGAAGGCTTGGAACCAACGCAAATGATTTGCTGCTCAGTTGTAGGTATTTGTTGTAGGAAAGGTAGATTTCAACAATGTTTTCTAGACCTTTCCATTCCTGGCCTGTGAGTTCCTGTCCAATTTCATTCAGGCCGAGGTCAAGTAACTCTAAGTGGCCCAACCAAAAAAAAGCACCACTCTGTATTTTGGAGATTCTGTTTTTGGTTAGGTTGAGTAATAGTAAAGGAGAATGAGTAAGTGATAAGAATGTTTCATTTGTTAAAGTCTGCAAACTTGCAAAAGAGTTGGATAAATGTAAGTATTTCAGCTTTATCAATCCTGTGAACATATTGCGTCCTATGTTTGGGAAGTTGTTATCGTCCATGTCAAGATACTCCAAACCTTTTAGCCACTGAAAGGCAAAATCATCAATCTTGGGAAGTGCAGCAAGGGCATTACTTTGTTTAGTAAAAGATCGTCTCAAATTCAGGTATCTCACATTGGAAAGCCCATAAAAGGAGTAAGAAGATAAATGACCTATATTATTATACTCCAGGGAGAAATATTCTAGATGGGGTAGCCAAGCAAAGGAACTGTTATCAATTACATTTAAACCGTTGCGGGAAAGATCGAGCCTGGTGAGATTTGTCTGCTTTAGCCCAAAGAAAGTCACATTGCTTATTCTGTTCAGCTGGACATTGCTCAGAAACAGATGCTGTATGCTTGTGTTTGATAATTCCAAACAGAGTTTCGCAGTGAGAGTGGGGCCCAATTGGACATTGTTCAGTGAGAGGCCAAATAATTTTCCAATTGCATGAAAACACCCTGGAGAGAACTAAAGGTGGGAGGAAAAAGAGGTTAATAACCAAAACATAGTAAAATTGTAAAACCTCGGTGACCCCCCCCCCCTTTCACCACCATATTTGGATTTTTCTCTGCTTTCCTCCCATGCACAGTAACTTCTCTGTGCTGCTGATAACTACCTTCTCCTCCAGCCCCTCACCTGCCCTTACCTGGCTAACTTCTGTTTTGATTTAGATGTCCCTTCTTTCAGACACCTTCCCTGACCTTCCAGCTCAGACTAAGTCTTCTGCTACTTTTACTTCATCACATTGATCTTAATTATAACTGAGAAGCTATTTGTAAAGTCACCGTTGGGAGAGATCCACTTTCTGTCTTGATGAGTTCTGTTCTCCGTGAACATCATGGAATGAATGAGCAGATTTTATTATAAAACAGTGATAAATACTTTCTCTTCTGCAGCTCTGAATTCCAGCCATCCTCTGCCATTCGTCACTGTTTGCTCCGGACTTGATTTTATTACAAAGTTTCTCATTCCCTTTACTCTGTCCCCATTTGCTCACCAGAAGCTGCACTGCCCTGGGATTCAGCTTTAGAACAAGAGACAGAAGGAAGGGCAGAAGGAATCCAGAGAGGACAGTAGCCAGAAGAGCAAAGAGGCTCTGATTTCTACAGTGTCCCTTGTGAAATGTTAGGGCTAATGAAAAATATGACAGAAAGGTGGAAGAAAACGTGCAATATTGTGAGTAAAGTGAGTTAAAATACAAAATAAGAAATTATTAAATTATGATAAATTTACGTGATAAGATTTTTTGCAGTCCCCTTTAAAATAAGTTTTTGAATAATACTTAGTGACTTGGAGGATGTTCTGAGATGTTACTTTTTTTTTTTGATTTTTATGTATACTTTGTTTTATTTTTGCTATTAATTTCAAATGGCAAGATACACTGTCATGCTTCACAAGACAATAGAGCACAGCTCATAAACATGCAGGCCCTGGTCTAACATTGCCAGAAAGCTGGCTATGTCATCTGCTGTGAGATCTTGGAGTTTCTCCTTATTTTCTGTTTAAATGAACTTACTTTTGGGTAAAGTGATGATAAGAATAAGTTGGTTACAGGACAATATACAAAAAATTAAAAAAGAAATTGCCATAGTACCTGGCACACAGTTAAGTATTCTATTTACTTTCAGCTGCCATAACTTTTTCTTCTTATTACTTGGACAAAAACTTGAAATTAACATACCCAAATGCTAACAATGGCCTCTGGATTTTAAAATGTGTGTAGATTCATGTCTATACTGCACAAGAAACTGTGGGGCTGCATATAAGCCCTCTTGCAAGTCTGTCATTCATTTATTTTGTATTTTTTGGTGATTAAACTTAACAGCAAGTGAAAAACCAGAGTGTACTGCCACATTGCAAACTACTATACTAGAAAATACAGACATATCTGCTTGCAAGGAATTATTTTTTTAATCTTCAAAGGAGAAATGAATCCAAACTGCCAGCCAGTTAATTCTTTTCCCTCTTATGGCAAAATTGCCTTACACACAACTAGTTTTGCAAGGGAAAGGTTTGCAGCAAAGAGGTTTGTGGTGAAAGCAGAGATTGCAGGAAGCAGTAAGTGTGAAAAATTCCTGAATGACATGGCAAAAGTCTCTGAATTCTTATTGATGTGATACAGGGACCGCCCACACTTAAATGCTGAACACCAAATCACTTTACCTTACTTCTTACCTCATTAATTGGATTTGATGACAAGTCTAATATTTTTATGGAGGAGTTGCCAAGGAAATCAAATTCTTCACCTCTTAGTGTGTGAATTTTATTATTTGATAATAGAAGCACTTGGAGATTTTCCAGTTGGAGCTGAGTTCCTAATTTAGTAGATGATAAACCAGTACGAGATAGATCTAACTTGATTAAATTCTGAGGAGAAAAAAAAAACCAACACATAAGTTAGAGTCCCGTCATCAAAAACAATTATTCTAAATGCCCATGAATTTTAGGAATATCTCCACATAAAACACCACTTCTATTCAACAAAAAGCTAACAGTAATAATCTTCATTGTGATTAAAAATACCAATATTGCAAAGATTTAGTTTCTTGAAGAAAGAAACTATTTCCTTTACCAAAATAAAATGAATTAGCTTGTTTATTTGTGATATAAGGAACGTTCATGTAAATATTTGTTTATTGATGATAAGTAAAAGGAATCAACAGGCCCAATATGGAGTCCTTCTTGTCAGACCCCCACCAAGACTAATACCTGACCTAATTACAGTTTCAACCTCTCCTGAGAGTAGACTTCTAAACCAAACAATCTGGAGTTTCCAGGTCAAAGCTGGTGAGGTTAACTACACAACACATCTCCTTGCTAAGGGAAGGTTATTTTGTCTCAAATATTCTTTCTTTCTTTTGCTAATAAGCTCATCCAACCTCTTTTCTTCAGTAAACCACCCCATACTTGTGCAATCCCTTGCAAGGCCATTCTCCTTGCTGGAGGAAATTCATGAATTGTTTAATAAAATCAACTAGAGCTCTACATTAGTCAAATTAATGTTTTTTTAAAGGCATTTATTTATAATGCAAGGCCAATCAAACATGCAGTGTCATACATCAACTCTGAAACTAAACAACAGAAAAAAGAAGAAGAAATGTTTCCCTTAAAAGCATGGGTAGAAGTTTGCTGTCCATGAAATCAGAAAAAGACTTCTGTATTTAGAAAGAGTAAAATTTTGTATCATGACTAGTATAGAGAATTTTTTTGTTTGTTTTGTAAGTGTCTTGGGGTATTTATCACTCTATGCTGCTTTTGAACATGTAAACTTCCAACTCAGGTAAAAGGTAAGGAAGATCTGATTTCTCTTAGGGCAAAATAACATTTGCCAGTCATTACTGTCACCAGGTTTTAAGGTCCAAAAATATTCCATCCACATCATAATCTAAGAAAGCACAAACAAGATGTTCAAATCTAAGCATATTTAAATTTTTACATTATTCCTGGCATCTAAAGTCAAGGAATACTCAGTTTTTTATAAATTCATAAAATAAAAAGAGATTTGTAAATGACGTGGGGGTTAAGAATGGCACTAATAATATGCATTTTTTACAGATTTAAAATTCAATCAAAGTACCGAAAAGAATAAGATAGTAACCACTGGAGAAGCAACGTTAAGACATTAAGAGGAGACTTCTTAAGTCAGTAGGTAAGTTTTAATTGAACACTTTGCTTTATCATGCATTAGTCTGTTAACTTTCATTACAAGTTCTAAATCAAAAGCACTGAGAGTTCATCTGCTATGTTGCCCATGAAATATTCTTATTCTGCTGTGATCATGACCTCCATATTTTGTGTCTAAGTTCTATTTCCAAAGGAGGCAGCAAGTGAGGCAGAGATCTGTAAAATCAATAATAAAGTAATTTAAGACTATGTTTACTCTTTTGAAAACAATTTCAATCATAATGGCAATATTTGTGTGCGAGTAGATCAGATTTCTTAGTCATGACTTTGATATTTAGATATGAAGTCTAAAAGATGGTTAAGTGACTTGAAAACAACATTAGATAACATTTTTCATTTCTTATATGAAAACAAACCTTTCCATCTTACCTTCAGGTTTACGAAGGGATTATTTTGAATTTTCTGGATTGGGTTGGACATTAGATGGAGTTCAAGTAAATTCAAGCAGAAAATAAACGTTTTATCAGAAAGATGAGATAGCTCATTGTGCTGGAGGCTCAAAACTTTCAACAAGTGGAGTTGTTGGCACAGTTCTGGGTCTAGTTTTGAGATAGAGTTAAATCCTCCATCTAATATGGTGAGTTGCCTGTATCTTGTAAAATTGGCAGGTGGTAATCTTCTGAGTTGATTATGGGTAAGATTCAATACTGTTATATTTGCTGGGAGGTCATCAGGTACTTGAGTCAACTTCAGATGACTACAGTCAGCTACCTCATCTCTTATAACACATTTGTTGGTAGAGGATACATAGAGTAGCCAAAAGGGCAACAGTCCCCAAAAGGAATAGATGTGATAAGGCAAACTCAGTCTCATGATTCTGCCCTATAAAAAAAACATAAAAAGTAATGGACAATGTTAAGAACACATGATTTCCTATGCATTGGTATATTTCTTGTATAGAGCCAAGATGTGACTGTAGATGATCATTTTATTCTTGACTTTTATGATACATAAGTATGCATTATTTTTTTTAAATTTTTTAGAAAAGATTTACTTATTTATTTATTTATACAAGCACTGGGTACAGTCAGAGGCGCAGAAAGGCGAGAGAATTCACCAGAGCCAGAGCAGGGAGCAGAATAGGCAGACTGACGAAGTACACTGCTGAGGGGAGCAGTGGGTGTGGCAGGAGAGGTCTGCGCACCATGTGGGACCTTCGCCAGAGGCCAGGGATTGAACTGGCACTGCAGAGGCTGCGGGCAGCTTGGCAACCCAGCGCTCAACTGCTCGCCACCAGGGAGGCCCTTTATTTATTTTATTGAGATAATATTGGTTTATTTCACAGTTTGTATTTTGGTATTAAGAAAAATTTCTTTAATAAATGGTGCTGGGAAAACTGGGAAGTCACACACAAAAGAATGATGGATCAGTCTCTAACTCTATATACAAAAATAGACTCAAATAGGTTTAAGATTTAGGTATTAGATATACAACAATAAAATACATAGATGAAATTATTGGTGATATGTCCATCACATCAAAAATAAGGATGTTTATGGAGACTTGACCCCTAAGGAGAGACAAATGAAAACAAATATAAACAACTGAGATTACTTCAAGTTAAAAAGCTTTTGCACAGTGGGATAAAAATACAAAATGATTAAATAGAACCCTATTAAATGGGAGAAAATGTTCACATCATATATAACTCATAAGGGATAAATATCTAAGGTATATAAAAAGCTCATGCAATTCAACAATAAAAAACAAATAATGTAATTAATAAATGGGCAGCATATGTGAACAGATAATTCACCAAAAATGGATATCCAAAAGGCCAATAGGTGTATGAAAGAAAGTTTGTCATTGATTCCAACAGAAGAGATTTAGGTTAAAACCACAATGAGATACCATCTCAAACCCTTGAATATGGAACATATTAAAAAGTTCACTAACAAGGCCTATAGAGGATGCTGAGAAAGAGGAACCTATTACACTGTTGGTAGAAGTGTAAGTTGGTGCAACCACTATGAAAAGCAATATGGATTTACCTTAAAAAAGCTAAAAAATGGAAATACTGTACAACCCAGCAATCCAACTCTTGGGCATCTACCCCAACAACATGAAAGTAATGCAAATATGTGTGTGTGTGCATGTATGTGTGTGCCCTACAATGTTCATACCAGCATTATTTACTATAGCTAGGACATGGAAGCAGCCTAAATCCCCACTGACAGACAACTGGCTCAAGAAGCTGTGGTCTATCCATACATGGAATACTGTTCAGCCATAAGGAAAGATGAAAAGCAGTCATTCAGCAAAATGGAAGGAGCCTAAGAGAATTAATTACATGTAGTAAAGCAGTCAGAACATTAAAAAAAAAAACTGGATATTTACATAGCAGACATTTTTGATAAAATATTTTCAAGAACTAGTAGACATCAGTACACACTTAAGGGCTATGAGGCTGGGGGAAGAGGAAGGATAAGTGACAAGTGGAGAGAGGAATAGTAGTTATAAAAAAAAAAAAAGTCAATTAATGAGACCTAACAGTACCAAAGCAACAGACCTAGAAGAAAAGAAAACAAATAAAAAATAAATTCGCAGAGCCTTGTGATTTTGGAGAGCCTTTTTAGGGTATGTAGGATAACCTTTCTTCAAGGTAGAAGCAACACTGCATTACAATGAGAACACAGGATCAACTGAACCACTATTTACAATTGGGATGTATAATTTGATTTATACATTTCATTTTCCCCCTAAACTTATACAGATACACCTATATACAGACACACCCCAAAATGTAATTGTGTTGTAAAGTTGGGAGGCAACTTTCTGAAACTAGTGCTACCCAAGGCAGGCACTGTTCTTAGCTGAGTAACCTACTATTGCCCATCATTTTCCATACATCTGGACATCTGTCCATGTCTTATTTAGCTCCATTTTCCCTTATTAGCCCTGAGAAAGCTAATTATGTGCTAACAGAAACCCTCTAAGTATCTTCTCATTTTCAAGTACCTTATTATAAAATCATAAAATGCCAACCCTCTTCCCTTTTCTGGTCAGCAAAACTCAGAAAAAGAAATAAGCCTCTTTTAAGCTCATGTAACTTTGTGTCTTTAAGGTGAAGATATGACTTTTTAAAAACTGTGTTGCAAAATTATTCCCATAGCTAGCTGTCCTAAAGTGTTTTCCCAGGCATATCACTCTACACAAGAAAAACAAAACAAAACAAAACAAAAACAAAACACTAATTACTGCATAAAATGTTTTACCTGTTATTCAAAATTATTGCTGCTGCTCATACCGACTTAGGCTACATTTCTCCCAAACCTGAGTTTTTCTTCCACGGTTTTTGATTCTGACTGGATTTCAAACTCCAAATGAAGGAAAGGCCAACGAATGCTAAAAATCAGTGTGCACTCTAGCTTCATTCAACATGGGAGATTCTATTCCAAAAAGGATTTAAAACATGTATCTTCACTTACTCCGACAATGGCTTACTGGTCTCTTTTTCATTCGTCCAAATCCAAACGTTTTTGTCAGGGAAGTGGGGATAAATTGGCTGCAATCCTGAAAGTGAAACTGAAGTTTGAAGAAAAAAAAAAAAGGGCTTTTGTAATTGGTGCATTCCCAGGAAGACAAAGGAAAAAAGCAGTTTCAGCAGGAAGTGTTTTAAAGTGCTTTTTAAAAATGTCTTTTTTTTTCCTTCAGGTTTTTTTTTAAATGAGAAATCTTTCTCATTTTCTTTCTTTTCTTTATCTTCTAAAAAACAAAGCAAAACAAAAAATGCGCCACCATCCAATATAACCCTTTTTTCACCCTTACTTCTGTGTCCTCCCCTCTTCACCACTGTCACCTTATTTAGGTTGTCAATGTCATTTTATTGGTTTTCATTGAAAGGGGTGATTACAGATTTAGCAACAGAAAAGTTGCAAGAGTGGGACTCTACTACTTGTTGTAGGTGTGGTTAGGATACTGGAGTTCAAACATGCCTAGCAGTATGTACAGCTCTGATTTTACTGAAGACATCGGAGTCATGAAGTGTCATGAAGTCAAGAAGTGGGACACTTCTTGCAACAGGAAAAAAAAAAAAAAGCTTAATCAAAGATAAGAACTTTCATTTTTCTTGCTTTATCTTCTTAGTAACCCTGTAAGATAAGCAATGCACAAACTAACCTCCAGATCAAAGAAGGGAACAAATTGACAGCAGAGTAAAGGTTGGCCATGCAAAGCCAGGGGTTAGTCTTGACACCCTGCTCTGATCGCCACAGTCCCAGGGAACACATGGAAACATCCAGAGAAAGTCCAGATTCACTAGTTAGGTCTCAATTAACTTTCCTGACTCCAGGTAGAAAAAAGAAATGTGATTGTCAAGAAAAGAACATTTTTTTTTAAAAATAATTAATGTAATATTATAGCTATTGTTAAATGGTAAAATATAATAAATAGAAGGAAATGCTGATGCCCTAATCCAGCTTCCTTGTTTGAGAAATGAGGAAAATAAAACCTACAGGATGAGTGATTTGCCTAAGGGCAGACCACAAATGGCCACATGCTTCCTTATTGGCTTAATAAAACAGCCTGAACCAGTTGCAATTAGTCACTACCTTGATCTGATTATGGAATTGAGAGCAAGGCATAAGTTCACTTCAGAAGCAAACTGCCCTCTTCTGGGCCCAGGCCTTGTGGGTCCTGGGTTCCTGGCTACACCTTCCTAATTTTCAGTTGTATTATACTCATAGAAGTGAACAAATGTTCTGTGAACAATTGTCTCCCACATCTATCCTCTGGGATATACAAACAGTGAGACATTACTAGTGTTAGACGAGAACTGTATGTCTAGACTTGTGCCAGCAGTGACTATACAATTATCAGCCAACTACTGGGTATTTGAAAGAAAGGTTTAATTTAGAATGGTTCCCATGCATTTCTGAAATAAACCTTTGTTAACATAAACAAAGAGACAGGACTAGCCATTTCCCTTGTCCTAGCAGAATGTTAAAACTATACCTTTTTATCATTAAAACTGACTGTGGTTTGCAATGTGATGAATATATTGTAGACTCAAATAAAAAGTTACACTTGCCTCAGAACATGAAGCACAGATAGCCTTTTTAAAAAAAGATTTATTTTTTTTTTTTTATGCATACAAGAACAGAGGTGTGGGCCAGCGGTAGGGGATTCACCAGAAACAGAGTGGGGAGCAGAACAGGTGGATCTACTGAAACACACTGCTGAGGGGAGCAGCAGGTGAGGCAGGAGAGGTCTGATAGGCCATGTGGGTCAGCTCTCTGGCCGGGGATGGAACTCATGCTGCAGTGGCTGGTGATAGCTTGATAGCGCTGAGACTTTAATCCCTGCACCACCAGGGAGCCCCCAGTCATTTTCAACTCTGCTTCTTGGTGTTCCTGCACAGACAACACTGAGCAAGGACATGTCCTCTGTAATGTCTGAAATTCTACAGGCATGTCTTTTTCTCTTTAAACTCCATCTCTAAAGTAAAGCTACAGTTCCTCTTAATGGCATCATTTCTATTTCTACTCATTGACTTTCAAGTGGTTTAAATTAAGCCCAACCAGACAAGGAACTCAGCAAAATCTTGAGAGAGGAAATAACACTACCTCCTTCCTGCTACTCTCACTTACTTCTGCTGAGCAGGGTTGAGATAGAAATTCCTTTCTGAAGAGAAACCAACACAGTGCTCCAGTGTAACATTTCTTTCTTTCTTTCTTTCTTTCTTTCTTCTTTCTTTCTTTCTTTCTTTCTTCTTTCTTTCTTTCTTCTTCCTTTCTTCCTTTCTTCCTTTCTCCTTTCTTCCTTTCTTTCTTCCTTTCTTCTTTCTTCCTTTCTTCCTTTCTTCCTTTCTCCTTTCTTCCTTTCTTCCTTTCTTCCTTTCTTCTTCCTTTCTTCCTTTCTTCCTTCTTCCTTTCTCCTCTTCTTCCTTTCTTCCTTCTTTCTTCCTTCCTTTCTTCCTTTCTTCCTTCTTCCTTTCTTCCTTTCTTCTCCTTTCTTTCTTTCAGCACTGGGTACAGTCAGAAGCGCGGGAGGGTGAGAGAATTCACCAGAGCCAGAGCGGGGAACAGAGCAGGCAGAAGGACCGAGGTACACTGCTGAGGGGAGCAGCAGGCGGCAGGAGAGGTCTGCGCGCCATGTGGGACCCTCCTCTGGTGGCCGGAGCAGCCGGGGATCGAACCAGCGCTGCAGAGGCCGCGGGCAGCTTCGCAACCCAGCGCTCAACCGCTGCGCCACTGGGGAGGCCCTTTTTTAAATTTTTTTTGTGGGACCCTCACCAGTGGTGGGGAATGAACAGGCGCTGCAGAGGCTGCAGGTAGCCTTGCAGCCCAGTGCTCAACCACTGCGCCACCAGGGGAGGCCCTCTTTCTTTCTTATTTTTTGGTAATTTTTCAAAGTTGTTGAAAGTGATTTTATCTTTCTGGCTCTTTTCTATCTGTGAAATGAGTGGTTGAGTGTGAAACGGGTCCCACACTTCACTGACAATCTCTTGATAGGGCAAAAAGTTCTTCATTCTCTGGGCCTTTATTTTGGGATTTTGGTGTTTATTAAAAAAAAAATTCTAGACCAAACTTTGCAGTCAGCCAACATTTTAAACCTTTTTGCTAAATCTGAATAAACTCATGTTTACTGGGCATCCAAGAAATGACGTTAAAGATGTCTGATAACACGCTTGAACAATCACGCTTAACAGAAGGAAGGCCCATGTGTCAAAAGCAGCTAACAACTCATTGTAATCAGACTGAACTTGTCAGTTTGTGAGAATTAATTTTCATGAAGATTGATCTTCATTTTATAATGCCAGTTTTTTTTTTTTAAGATTTATTTATTTATGCATACAAGAACTGGGGTATAGGCCAGAGGTGCGGGAGGTGAGTGGATTCACCAGACAGAGTGGGGAGCAGAACAGGTGGAACCACTGAAATACACTGCTGAGAGAAGCAGTGGTTGAGACAGGAGAGTCTGCTGTGCCATGTGGGTAGCTCCCTCACTGGGGATGGAACTCATGGTGTAGTGGCTGCCAAGAGCTTGATAGCACTGTCTTTAACTCCTGCACCCCCGGGAGGCTCTGTAATGCCAGTTTTGGACCAACAGGAAAAATTAAATGAAGGCCCAGAGTTAGACTATGTAGACAATTGCTTCTGAACACCCTCCTTGCCATTCACCTAAGAGGAAGCTTAATCTGTATCATGACAGGATTTATAATAAGAATATGAGAACTGGTCCTTAAAAAGTGAGAAGTAAAAGTGTAAAGGAGCTGGGCGGCACAAGGCTTACTGTGATAAAGATTTGGAGATTAAAATAACTACATTCAGAAAGTGCCAAGAGATAGTTTACAACCTGTAGAAAATGTTATTCTGATTATCCTTTACTTTATGTAGCAACTAGTCTAAGAGTTGAATGTATACTTTAACACCATCAAAAGAAATGGTAACGGTAATTTTTCTCTAAATTATCTACTTGTGTTGCTTGTATAATCACAGGATTATATATAAAACAACTTGCAGAAAGCTGAGCCACTCCTGTGCAAGAATGTTTTTTTCTATTTGGTTTTCATATTTTCATTATTGATTTGTAAAAACTTTTTGAATATGGTGGAAATTAGCTTTCATCTAATTTATTGCATTTTTTAGCTGAGATTTTTTGTTTTGATTTTTTTTTTAAGTGATTGCTTTAACTACACAATTCCTGAAGTCAATAAATGGCAAAGTAGGAAGCTTCAAAACCTCCTTCTCCCATGGCAAACCATCAAAAAACATGTGGCTGAAGTAGCCTTATTGTTGTTCTGGAAAATAGTCAATGGTTACTAAGTCAAAAGTAACTTAGTGAATGCTCAATGAAGAAAAAGTCACCTTAAAATCAAGTAGGTGCTCACCATAAGGAAAATGCACCCCAATACCATAATGAGATATCACCTCCTAACTCAGAGTGAGTAGGAATACGCAAGAAACAGTGTTGACCTGGATATGGAGAAAGGGTAACACCCCTGTTGTTGGTTGGAATGTAAATTGGTGCAGCCACCAAGGAAAACATTATGGAGGTTCCGCAAAAATTATAAATAAAACTACCATATGTCCAGTTGAGGAAACAGACAAAAACACTCACTAGAAAAAATATACACTCTCATGGTCATTGCAGCATTGGTTACATAGCCAAAGCATGGGAATTCCCTACCTGTCCACTGATGGATGAGTGGATAGGGAATGGAAAGAGAAATATTGTAATGGATAAAAAAATGCACTGCATGTGTGTGTGTGTGTATTCAATATTTCATTGTAGAACCCATGACATAGTGAGGATGGTGGTGTGCATGTCTGGATGAAGTTATGTCTGATGTAAGGAGCAATGTTATGTTCTAAAAGTATTAAAGAGGAGAAAACAGGGCCTCCCTTGGTGGCGCAGGTGGTTGAGCTCAGCGCTGTGAAGCTGTCCGCAGCCTCTGCAGCTCGGGTTCGATCCCAGCCGCCGGCGAGGGTCCCACATGGCGTGGCAGACCTCTCCTGCCTCGCCCGCTGCTCCCCTCAGCAGTGTATTTCAGTCAGTCTGCCTGTTCTGTTCCCTGCTCTGTCTCTGGTGAATCCTCTCACCCTCCTGCAAATCTGACCTGTACCCCGGTACTTGTATAAATAAATAAATGAATGTTTAAAAAAAAAAAGAGGAGACAACATTCTGAACTCATTCGATGAAGGCAATATTACCCTGATAGCAAAGTCACATGAAAACACCTTGAAGAAAGAAAACCACAGTGCAATATCTCTTATGAATACTGATGCAAAAATCTTCAACATACTACTACTAATGAATTCAGTAACATATTAAACGGATTATAAACTATGATCGTACAAGATTTATTCTTGTAGGAAAGAAAGTTCAACATACCAAAAAATCAATCAATATAAGACACTGCATGTATAGATTGAAGGAGAAACCCACAGGGTCATTGTAATAGATGCAGAAAAAACATTTGAATAAATTAAATACATTTTCATGATAAAGCACTCAGCTGTTTGAAAAGATTTAAAGATTATTTATGGCAGGATGCAACACAATGGCCCTCAGTAAGATAAAAAGGCAGAATTCTTTGTTACTTACAGTTCCAGATGAGAGAAGGCTGCCAGGCAGAGGCACACAAGGGTTTGCCCCTAGAAACAGAACTGACAGTAAGTTTGCTGCAGGGAAGAATCGATTCATGGCAAAACTGAATTGAATAACTTGGGGGTACTCTGGTACTTAGGGGCTTTCCCTAATGATCTGGTACATGTCCTGGGGAAAGCGGTGTGGGTATGTAGTGATCTGGAATATGAGAACCCAATAAGGAAGTGAGAAAGTTGCAGACTTAATCAGCAACTCCAAAACAGAGCTGATTGAACTCTGACCAGGCCCTCAAAACGAGGTCAGAATTTTTTTTAAATTACATTAAAATTGACCCATGAATGTCTTGACATCAGTTTTGAGCTTTATTGTGAGGGTGTTTGAGTGTCCTGGCCAGTAAAGGGGCTTCCAGTGATAGGTGGGACATGTGTTGTCTTAAACAACATAAAAAACTATTCATCTTGAGAGTAGAAAAGAGGAAAACATGTAAAAGTATAAGGAGTCTTTATAGGTCTACCTTTAACCAAGTTCCTCTTTAAATGATATTGACCAAGAAGAGAGATCTGAAATTTCTGGGGTTTTTACAGTCTTTTGGGGGAGTTATAAAGTATGTTAAAAGTATGGATATATTTTTGGTGACACTAATTATTTGGTATATTTTTTGGGTCATAGTGGCAGGCCTAGCAGTTATATCATTGGATCATATAAGTTAATCACTCAGTAAGGTTCATATAAATGTTAGTGGTATTTCTTTGCAATCAAGGGGAAGAGAGGTTTTGCTGGTCATGGTAAAAGTGTGGAGTGGACAGATCTATGGTCAACTAATCTTTGACAAAGGAGCAAAGAATATGCACTGGAGTAAAGAAAGTTTGTTCAATAAATGGTGCTGGGAAAACTGGGTCGCTACATGCAAAAGAATGAAGCTTGACTACTACCTCACACCATGCACAAAAACCAACTCAAAATGGAGTAAAGAACTAGACATAAGACCTGAAACCATAAAATATATAGAAGGAAATATAGGCGAAACACTACATGACATGCACCTCAAAGACATCTTTATAGATACATCACCCAAAGCAGTGATAGTGAAGGCAAATATCAACAGCTGGGACTACATCAAATTAAAGAGCTTCTGCACAGCAAAAGAGACAATAACAAAAACAAAGAGAAACCCCACCAACTGGGAGAACATTTTTGTACCCAACACTAATGATAAAGGACTGATCACAAAAATCTACAAGGAGCTGATGAGACTCAACAAAATAATCCAGTCAAAAAATGGGCAGAAGAGCTAAAAAGAAACTTCTCCAAAGAGGAAATACAAATGGCCACCAGACATATGAAAAAATGTTCAACATCACTTGTAATCAGGGAAATGCAAATTAAAACTACAATGAGAATGCTCAGCGAAATAAGCCAGAAAGAAAAAGAAAAATACCGGATGGTCTCACTCATAGCAGGAATCTAGAAAACTTAAATAAGGGACCAGGAAAATGAATAACTATAAGAAAATGAAAATCAAAATCAACAAACAACTATGAACCAGAGACACTCTATGGGGGGTGGGACGTGGGGAGGGGAGAGATTGGGGTCAAAATAAAGGGGTTGCAATTGTATGGGGAATATAAAAATAAAATTTATTTAAAAAAACTACCATGAGATACCATCTCACACCAGTGAGAATGGCACATATTAAAAAAACTAGCAACAACAAATGTTTGCGAGGATGTGGAGAGAAAGGAACTCTCCTGCACTGTTGGTGGGAGTGCAAACTGGTCCAACCACTATGGAGAGCTGTGTGGAGATTTCTGGACCTACTAAACACAGAGCTTCCATATGATCCAGCAATTCCACTCCTAGGTATTTACCCAAAGGACACAGAAACATCAATTCCAAAGAGCACCTGCACCCCTATGTTTACAGCAGCACAATTTACAATAGCTAAGCTTTGGAAACAACCCAAATGCCCAAAAATAGATGACTGGATCAAGAAGATGTGGTACATATACACCATGGAATATTACTCAGCATTCAAAAAAGATAAACACATGCAATTTGCAGCAACATGGATGGAGCTGGAAGGGATCATGGTCAGCAAAATAAGCCAGAAAGAAAAAGAAAAATACCGGATAGTCTCACTCATTACAGGAATCTAGAAAACCTAAATAAGGGACCAGGAAAAAGAATAACTATAAGAAAGAAAAAAATCAAAATCAACAAACAACAATGAACCAGAGACACACTTTGGGTGGGGGGTGAGGAGGGATAGGGGTTAAAATCAGGGGGTTGCAATTGCATGGGGAATATAAAAATAAAAAAATAAATTAAAAAAAAAAGTGTGGAGTGGGGGCCTCCCCAGTGGCACAGTGGGTTGAGTGCTGCGCTGTGAAGCTGTCCGCAGCCTCCACAGCACTGGTTTGATTCCCGGCCGGCCAGGGAGACCTCTCCTGTCTCCCCCGCTGCTCCCCTCAGCAGTGCCTTTGGTCCGTCTGCCTGTTCTGCTTCACGCTCTGTCCCTGGTGAATCCTCTCACCCTCCCGCAACTCTGGCCTGTACCCCAGCTCTTGTATAAATAAAAATAAATCTTAAAAAAAAAAGAAAGTGTGGAGTGGGAAGTCATAGTGGAAAGCTGGAGGCAGGGAGAAGAGAAGGTATTGAAAATGAAGGAGCTCTCCCCAAGGGCTCTCAAGTTGTGGACTAATACTTTTCATTAATTTTAAGAATAAAACAGGTAGTAGTGACCTCTGTAAATATTCCCGTTAGGCATGAAGAATGTAGGGGTTTGGGCAGAGGGCAACTGTACACCAGATTCATGGCTAAGCTGACAGTATGCTCAGGGGTGGAACAGATTCCCTAATATCAAAGGAAAAGTAGTAGTACATGGACTATGTGTAAGTTATCAGTGTCTTAGAAGAGGCAGCCCTGGTGTAGCTGGGAGTTTGGTCTGAGTTTCTGGGGTGAAGATATATCAAATGAAGGATGTAATGTTATCTTTAGCAGCTTTTGGGCCAGGGTGATGTTGTCTGGAATGTTCTTTCCAAGCAAATACCCACTTGGTTTGATGTAGGTCATGCTTCTGTGGCCATATGGTATCATAACAAGTCTGAGACCCTCATTGAATTTGAAGGCAATGTTTGCACTGGGAGCTTATAAATATCTTTTAATTCAGGAGGGGGTTTGGGTCCAATAGTTAGCAAAAGCAAAGACATCATTAATGGTATCCCTATAATTGCTACAAAACTCCAAAATGCAGCTAAATCTAAAAGCTCCCAACAATATAAATTTTGTCCAGGTGAATAATAAGAAGGGCTTTACTGCAAATAGGAGTTAAATCACAGGGCCTGACTTGGGTGTGTGATGTTAACAGGGCATCAGGTTGTCAGTCAGCTACAGTTTGTCAGCCAACTAAATACGTGTGGCCAAGACTATAGTTTTAGCCCATCACGATAGTCCCTTGTCTCAGTTGTGGTTTGGTTGATGACAGGTGAGTCAGCAAGGTCTTTGGACTGTCAAGCTGGTTTAGCCAAACTGGATGGCATTTGGACCTCAGCATGTCCCATGTTTGGTGGATACAGTGGCTCGCTTGGAGGGTTTCATCTGAGCATACGCTAATGAAAACCCCAATTCCAACAGTCCGTAACAAGACTAGACAGCCAACAGAATGGCTCTTATTGCCTGAAGTTGATTTTCCTCTGGGAAGTATTATTACTAAACAGGGGTTGTCTGGTTTTATTGTCATGGTTTTTGATACTAATTCCTTTTTTTCTCCCTGAATATGGTTTTCATTTATTGAGTGAAATTTTCTAGCTCCCTGTTGGTAGTTTGCACTGGGAGTGGCCTTGGAAAACCAATTTAAATTTCCTAGAAAGGTTCAGAGAGACAAAGAAGAATTTTATCCCAAGTAATGAGGAAACGTTGATCAGAAGTGCTGTTACGGGACAAGGAGAGGGCCACCCCAGAACCCCTAAATCTGCCTGCTCTAAATAGGATGCCTGCCATCCACCACATCAAGACAAAACATATAAGAACTTTAATGGAAAGGAACTTAAATAGAATTAGTGTGCAATATAGAAAAGATAAAGAACATATTTTCCAAATCAAGACCCCGAAGTTACCTATCCCCTCATGGGTAAATGTAAAGCCAAACAGGGTTGGCCCAAAGCAAGGCTGAAAGCCTGCCCTGAGTCTAAAGCACCTTCTAGCAGGGACCTATAAAAAAGGGTCAGAAACAGACAAGTCTGGGAGGGAAAGAGCAAAATCAAAATTAAGATAAAAAAGCTGCCATTATTAACCTCCCCACTGGTCTGTCACCCACATCTGTTTTAACCAGTGCAGGACCAAGAAACAAGTACAGTTTAAGTCTCTGCTTTATGTGCCTCTTCCAGGTCTCCTTCTGGCTCTCCATCCTGCTTTCTTCCTTTTCCAGTGTCTTCTCCAGCTTCTTCTCCCCCCCTACTCAACTCCACCCTTCCTTGGGTGGGGCAGGGTGGGATAAGATTAGGGAACCTGGAACTTCCTCTTTTCTTGGGTCCACCCTGTTGCAATGCTAATGCCCTGGAGCAGGCCTCTGTATATGCACTCTGTGACCCACAAGGCTGGAGACTGCCTGACCCTGGATGGTGTAGCCCCAGCAGTCAATCACTCCTGTTGCCCTACGGTGCCTCCCACCTCCTGCAGGCTGGAATCTAGTAGTCCAGCTTAGCCAATTAGCACTGTTCATTTTGAATGGTCCCACATTAAGGAAATTTAGGCAAGGAGAAACGTGGTCACCTCTAGCTAGCTGACACAGCGGCAAGGGGCAAGGCTAAGGTGCAGAAATAAATCAGTGGCGACTGTCCTGAGCTGCTTTCAAAGTAGTTTGAAACCCAGTGAGTGAGACAAGAGCAGAGGTCACGGTCCTGTCACCCTGCTGACAGCACCAGTTGTTTTGTAAGATTGAAAGTTTCCCTTGAGTCTTTATCTGAACAATACTCAGATGAAAGGCAGCCCCAACTACAAAAAAAAGTGCCAAT